ATTGATGCTTACTAATACTTGCAGTATTGCGTCTTGTAATGGATCTGCGGATGTACTGCGCCTGATTCGACGCATTCTTTTGGTTCTGGTCGATAGAGGTATGCGGAAGGTGATGTCTGCTGAGATGTATGAGAGACCTTAGGATGGTGTAAGCCCGACGATAGTCGTATTGATGCTTGTTGCGTTCTGCAGCATTGCGTCTTTGCGATGGTTGTTTGGTGGGACGCTATTCTCAATGGTGCTCTCTGCGTCTTGGTTTTACTCACACCTAAGTAGCTTTAGCAACCAAATAAAGTAAGAAGATTCCTTGTACAAAATAAATGGAATAGATATACGCAACCTGCCATGGTTGGTTACTTTCTTTGTGTTATTGAAAAAGCATAAACATAATCATATCCGATACCAGAAAAACAAATAGTAGCTGATGTTATTAGACATTACACTAAAACAGTGCAGCAGTTATGAAGAATAGCTAAGTAGCTTTGCCCAAGTCGGGTCCCTTCATTACGGGGCTGTAGACTGTCTGACCTCCATGACGTTTTATATAACAACATAATAATATATTTCTGTAACTTTCCCTTTGAATGATTGAAGGCAACTTGTTGGTGGGTGAGACAAACATGATCGAAAATCATTTACTCAACGTCAGTTACACAAACCCTTTCTGATGGCAAATTATTACTAACATCTTATAACTGCCTTTTGGTTATATCTGCCGTTATATTGGTTGGTGAAGCATATGTGTCGACCTCATGCGGGTGGTAGCTAGGTATCTGAGGAGACTCTCAAGACTGCGGCCGTGGGACTCCATTCCCTTGAGGTACACGGTAAACTCATGGCACGCTCTGCGGCTAGTAGTAGTGCTGATCATGCAATTGGTCTTACATCACGTCTGCAGGAGCGGCGGTCTGGCAGGTGGTGGCGCTCACGGAGGGTTTACGGCCAGTGTGCCTATTTGCCTAAACCGTGTGACGTACATTCACTGTGGCTGGATTTGTTCGCATTCTGTATGGCGTTTACACGCATTGACATGCGCGACTGCGGTCGATGTTTGTGCTTACGCTCCACCAAGGGCCCAAGCCCTCTTTTACTGGTTCGCCAGTTACATTGCTGTGGACAACGGTCCAGTTCCCGAATTCGGATGCGTTCCCTTCGGGTGGAGTGCATCAAAATGATTGGCGATCACCGCGCACGGCGTGTGTGGAGCCGTGTGCCGCCCCTATATTTTTTTAAAATAAATGTAGGAGAGCGAAACCCTTGTATCGGGTATTTTGTATACATACATATTTTGAGCCTTTTCCAAGCAGGAGGGGATACATAATAATCAATTATTAATGTAAACCTGATACAAGTGGAATAGGGGCATTTTTAGGTTCTTAACCTTTCTCGGGCCCTGTCTTCGTGAACGGGGTTCACTTAGCTTATAAGGCACTACCAACAGTTTTCAATTGCTCCAGTGAGTATTTATTCTTCCAAAAGATACCTAAAAGAACTAAGTTACTAAGCAAACACAACGTAAATAAGGGTCATAACTAAGACGATCACGCCAAAAATATTACAAACAGCCTATTATTAAACCTTTAGAAAGAGCATTTAGAAAGATCAAAACATATTTTATTTATCCTGGTCACATATGTATAATTTTATTTAAAAAGGAAAAATTATCTAATTATATATAATCGTCGACAATAGAACCGTTTGACAAGTGGACTGACGACTCACAAGATCAGTGGAGGCGGCCGTGGTAGGAGCTAGGACGGCAGCTACCTAGTTGGAGCTGCCTCCATCGGACCGGCACTCAAACCGGGGGTCCCGAAAGCGGCAATCCGGCGGTATCTCAACGACCCGGGGTTGAAAATAACCGAACGGGGTGACCTGGGGAGCTTCGGTGAACCTCGGCCTTGAGGTCCGGGACAAATTCGAGGTTGCAGGAACCCCGTAGTACCGGTACCGACCAAAGGGGGGAGGATGGCACTCCAGTCGCGGCCTCTCAGCCAACGGGGGTGAGAAGGGTCTCGCTAACCGCTGAGTGGCTGTGAAGTTCCTCTCCATGCGCTGAGGGGGGGGTGAAGACCCCCCCCCCCGCCCCTGAGGGAACGACCTCCTGACTGGTCGTGGCAGGGACCACTCCAGAATCAGGGGCCCGGTGGTCGGCAGGAGAGCGACGAGCGTCGCCCGACAGAGGGCGTGGCTGAGCGCCCCCGCCTGTTTGGGATGAGGGCCGGGCAGAGCCATGAGAGGAAGCGCCGTGCGCACCCAGGCACAAAACGGCATGGTGATTGCCCTGGCAGTGCGGACAGGGCCGCTGGTGCGGGCATTCTCGTTGGAGGTGCCTTTCCAAACATGAGTAGCACCAGCGGCGCTCCTTGGTGATGGCTCGTCTCGCTGGGACTGGCTTACCTAAGAAGGTAGGGGGTGGTGCCCTCCCGCGGCAGCTCCGCTCGGTCTGAGGGTGGTTGACGACGACTTGCCCGGGGGATTCCGCCTCTCCCGGGGTACGGCTCGGTTGGCAGTCTGTAGGTCGTCGACGGTGCCCGCTGCGTTCTCAATCTGCCTGCACTACTCCTCCAAGAACCGCAGCAGATCCCTGAATGGCGGAATATAGGAGTCCGTCACTGCCGTACCTCTCCTCGAAACGGATCCGAAGATCGAGGGGCAGGCGGGACAGCACAATTGTGGAGCAGCAAAAGGGCCATTCGTCCACCGGTAAATCCAGCCGCCTCAAAGAATTGCAGGCCACCAAGACTGGATTTACGAGGTCCGGCCGTAGTCTGGCCCGGTCCTTTAGCAGCGGGAGGTTCAATAGCTGCTTGACGTGTTCGTCCGCGATTCGCCGTACGTTGGCGTACCTTCCGGCGAGGAGGTCCCAAGCGGTCCGGTAGGCGTCGTCCGACAATTTCAGATGGCCAACGACGCCCAGGGCCTCCCCCTCCAGTGAGGCCAGGAGGTAAGCCATCTTCTGGCTTGGTGTCAAGTCCCTCCGGGCGTCCACTAGGCTATCAAACAGTCCTACAAAGGTTAGCCATTCGACCCCGGAGAACCTTGGCAGGTCCAGAGTTGGGAGTCGTCCCAACAGCTCCGGCTGAGTAGGCTGCTTCCGAGGGGACTCAAGCAGGCTACTCAGCCGAGCTTAACGCGCGTCACTAGCATACTTGGCCCCCGCGTCGATCAAGTCCTCCGTGTGCGAAAAAAATTGCTCGTAGTCTGCGAGGCAGGAGTCTAGGACTCCCTGTTCCGCTCCCGAGGCCATAAGCTCGAAGTAAGCCTCCTCCACTACTAACCTTCAGGCCATGACCTGCCCGAGCCGCTTCTCTAAACTATGGACTCGGTCTGGTCGCCCTATCAAGCTGTGGGCGTTCGCAGCCCAGCGCAGCTCCGCCTGCAAGCGAAGCGCCAGTGGTTTGTGCGATGGCATCATTACTAGATACAAATATTACCAAATTAAATTCAATACAAATTACTACAATTACAAATTACTATTTATCAAATTAAATACAAATTGCACTATACAATTAATTTAATTAATATAATTACCATTAATTAAATTAAACATAATTACTACACGCAAGTACCCACTACAGTCGGTCAACAAGATGCCACGCTAAGGCGACCGACACTTCGGCCTTTTAATCAACAATCCAAATGCAAATACTAAATACAAATACGAATACCTGACGCGTAGGTACCTAACCTAACTACACTCCGCTTACGCCGCTTAACGGGCGTGGTTCTAAATTCTACCGACCCGCGAACAAACAACACGCGAACAAAACAAAATATTATTATTACGTATAACGGCCGGGGGTGATTGTCAAAACAAGCAACCACGCTCTACTACCACTGGTACGTACCCCCGTGCCCCCGTACTACCCTGACAAAGTCGATTGAACTAGGGCCCACAGTAGTCCAACTAGACGAGTAACAAAAGGGAGGGTCCAACGACCTATGCATAATTAAATTATAACGGCTAACAGAAAAGCAAGCAACACTTACCGATTGGCGGAGGTAGGGTTAACCACAGGGCAATTGTCAGGTGAAAGGTGATGTGCATGTGAGTGGTGTGCAGTATTGTGTTTAATGTGTAACCTGACATCCCCGCTGATTCTGGACAGCAGATCCCAAGGCACTGCCTCTCTCCAAGTGTGGGACCCATCCAAGGGGACGTACACCAATGGAAAACTTCCGCTTCTATTTTCACTGTATTAGTTTATCACTTTATTGTACATTTAATTAACTTCAAATTTCACCAAATCAACGTTAATCGATGTTAAACAGTAGCACACTGCACAACTCAAGGACGGTTGGTCAGTCAGTCAGTCAGAAGTTCAATGTCCCAAGCTTACGTACCACAAAACTACTAATTCATCGATGCAATTAACGGACAAACAAGGTTCCTTTAATCACTACAAATTCCAAGTAGGCCTCCTATCACGAAACACGTTCAAAACAGACAACTAAATTCGAGGCGGTCTAGACTATATTCTAATATTCAATAGTAAATCCAAAATGGCGCGCACAATTAACACAAGCCTTAGGCATTCGAGTCAACACCTGCCGCGCGTAACCGTATGACAGTCACAAACAATAGTATAATCGACCCGAGCTTCGCGCAAATAAACTCAAGAAATAAGCTTCGTTGTCACGTATATTAACGACAAATGCAACCCAATAGAGGCCGTCGTTATTCGACGCCATAATTATTATCAAACTCGCGACCTACCCGGGAAATCTACCCGGGAGATTACGTAACGCCCGACGTTCAACTGGCGCGGTTTCACCGATCAAGGCTTTCGGCCGACTGCCCCGCTTGAGCTGCGCATACGACGCAGCTAGCCTCCGCCTCCCGCACCACGCTAACCGTTTCTTCACCCCGGTCGATACTATCGTGCGTAAACAATGTGACAATAGAAAAGCCGAAATTTTTTCTGTGTTGGAGGCGCGCTATTTTCGATTATATTGTTTATTCGAACGATATATGATATAAGATACAAAGGACTAACCTCTTCATGGCTTGCGATGTGCTGAGGTAGACCATCGTCCACATGTACATAAACACGCCACAGACAGCGGTCGTGAGCAACATGTACGGGTTCACTATAGTCACCATTACTAAAATTCCCAGCATAACCATAAACACCTAAAAAGCAATATCACTAAGCTAACATTATCCATTGAAATTTCAACAGTTTCCTTAAAGAAATTTTCTTTTGTGACTACCTCGTTGTTCAAGTGGTGATAAGCGCAGCTGCTGATCATGTTCCCGGTCCTGTCCAGAGTTCGAATCCGGGTCGGACTAAACATCAGTTATTGAGTTTGCCTGTCACGAAAATCGTAGTAGCAGCCCGGCGTGAGGACGTTATTGATGTATGTTAGTAGCAGCCCGGCGTGAGGCAGTTAGCGATGTATCTTAGTAGCAGCCCGGTGTGAGGCAGTTAGCGATGTATCTTAGTAGCAGTCCGGCGTGAGGAAGTTAGCAATGTATCTTAGTAGCACAGCCCGGCGTGAGGACGTTATTGATGTATGTTAGTAGCAGCCCAGCGTGAGGCAGTTAGCGATGTATCTTAGTAGCAGCCCGGCGTGAGGAAGTTAGCGATGTATCTTAGTAGCAGTCCGGCGTGAGGCAGTTAGCGATGTATCTTAGTAGCAGTCCGGCGTGAGGAAGTTAGCGATGTATTTTAGTAGCAGCCCGGCGTGAGATAGTTAGCGATGTATCTTAGTAGCAGCCCGGCGTGAGGCAGTTAGTGATGTATCTTAGTAGCAGTCCGGCGTGAGGCAGTTAGCGATGTATCTTAGTAGCAGTCCGGCGTGAGGCAGTTAGCGATGTATCTTAGTAGCAGTCCGGCGTGAGGCAGTTAGCGATGTATCTTAGTAGCAGCCCGGCGTGAGGCAGTTAGCGATGTATCTTAGTAGCAGTCCGGCGTAAGGAAGTTAGCGATGTATCTTAGTAGCAGCAAGGCGTGAGGAAGTTAGCGATTTATTTTAGTAGCAGCCCGGCGTGAGGAAGTTAGCGATGTATATTAGTAGCAGCCCGGTGTGAGGAAGTTAGCGATGTATCTTAGTAGCAGCCTGGCGTGAGGAAGTTAGCGATGTATCTTAGTAGCAGCCCGGCGTGAGATAGTTAGCGATGTATCTTAGTAGCAGCCCGGCGTGAGATAGTTAGCGATGTATCTTAGTAGCAGCCCAGCGTGAGGCAGCTAGCGATGTATCTTAGTAGCAGCCCGACGTGAGGAAGTTAGCGATGTATTTTAGTAGCAGCCCGGCGTGAGGTAGTTAGCGATGTATCTTAGTAGCAGCCCGGCGTGAGGCAGTTAGCGATGTATCTTAGTAGCAGTCCGGCATGAGGCAGTTAGCGATGTATCTTAGTAGCAGCCCGGCGTGAGGCAGTTAGCGATGTATCTTAGTAGCAGTCCGGCGTGAGGAAGTTAGCGATGTATAATTAGTAGCAGTCTGGCGTGAGGAAGTTAACGATGTATCTTAGTAGCAGCCCGGCGTGAGATAGTTAGTGATGTATCTTAGTAGTAGCCCGGCGTGAGGAAGTTAGCGATGTATCTTAGTAGCAGCCCGGCGTGAGGAAGTTAGCGATGTATCTTAGTAGCAACCCGGCGTGAGAAAGTTAGCGATGTATCTTAGTAGCAGCCCGGCGTGAGGTAGTTAGCGATGTATCTTAGTAGCAGACTGGCGTGAGGAAGTTAGCGATGTATCTTAGTAGCAGCCCGGCGTGAGAAAGTTAGCGATGTATCTTAGTAGCAGCCCGGCGTGAGATAGTTAGCGATGTATCTTAGTAGCAGCCCGGCGTGAGGAAGTTAGCGATGTATCTTAGTAGCAACCCGGCGTGAGAAAGTTAGCGATGTATCTTAGTAGCAGCCCGGCGTGAGGTAGTTAGCGATGTATCTTAGTAGCAGCCTGGCGTGAGGAAGTTAGCGATGTATAATTAGTAGCAGTCTGGCGTGAGGAAGTTAACGATGTATCTTAGTAGCAGCCCGGCGTGAGATAGTTAGCGATGTATCTTAGTAGTAGCCCGGCGTGAGGAAGTTAGCGATGTATCTTAGTATCAGCCCTGTGTGAAAAAGTTAGCATTGTATCTTAGTAGCAGTCTGGCGTGAGGAAGTTAGTTATGTATCAGCCCGCGCCTCGGAATGCAGTTAAAGTTGGTTCTGCGCGTGATCTCTCTCCGATCGTGTCGGATTTGCCTTCCCATCGGAATATCAGAGTTAGGGAATATAGAGCGCACCTGTGCTTACACACACTATGATCGTGATCTGCGAAGATGGCTTATCTCCGTTGAGATTGGCAGCCATGAACGAAATTTGGTCAGGATGACATGATTATTTCTTTAGTCTAGTTAAAAATGTTATGTCTGACTATTAATATCGCAATGATTCTCTTCCTTGTAGGCTTATTCCAGCCGCTATGTGTATGTGCAATACACCCACTATTGTGTAAGAAAGCTTTATAAACTCATATTTTGCTTAAGTCAAAACTAAAATATGTCAAAATGGGACAAGGATCAAAGTGCGTCAGCAGATGCATAAGTCTGGGTATAATAATAGTAAGTATAGATTTAATCATTGTTAACTATATAAAACTATTTTTTATAGATTTTATCGCGGTTCACAGTTCGCCAGTTACCCGAAGTCTTCGGATCTTCAAAGTTCTTGAAACGTCGAGATTAGAAAATAATACGATTAAATCCGTTAAAATTAGTTTTATTCAATACACACACGTGTACAGACTACTAAAATTATGATAAAAAGCATTATAACGTTACCTGCACACTCTCCAAGAACATTCTCGGTAGTATCTCATCAACAATGCCCATGTCTTTGGAAAATCGGTTTAGAATGCGTCCTGATGGATTAGTGTCAAAGAAGCGCATTGTGGCTGCAAGAATGTTACTGAACATTAAATTGTGCAACTTAATAGAACTGCGCATGCATATCCAAAGAAACAGCAGAGATCTGAAATAAATATGAAATATTATTGCAAACAAAATTACTTCGTTTCAATTACATTACATTGTAATTATTAGCCATTACTAACTGAACAGAAACCTCATTAAAGAGGGGGCTGACGGGCCAATTGAAAAAATAAATCTCGTAAGTTACTTGCGATTATTGTGTTTTTGTGTAATTTCATTGATGATTTAATGACAAATGTAATACACTATTTCGTAGGTAAAAAATCACAAGCATAGTAAAAAAATGTGTGAATCAATACGAGTTTCCCATCTTACTAATCATACTACGTTAGTGCCTAAAAGGTAAAAGTGACAATAAAGAAGCACCACAAACCATATTAAAGAGATTTTTGGTACATAAACATTTAGTTCCTGTATAAATATTGATATTTTCAGCATCATATTGAACACAAAACATCTCTATTTTAGTTAATAGCCTGTCATTCAAGCGAATACTTTCTATTATAATGAAATAAATGCAGAAAAAGAACAAGTGAATTCCACTGTTGCACCAATACGAACAAGGTACATGGCAGGAGAGACCGTTTAGACATCCGGTTGTAGAGTTGCCGCCAAGTTCAACCGTAGACGATTTAATGAGAGATTCAGTGGATATGTTGGGCGAGCGACGTAGATCTCGAACGTGCGAACGTAACGGGAGTAAAAATCAGTAGGAGATTGGTGACTCCGGCTGCGATGCACGTGCTGTCGGACATGTTGCGGAGTAATTAGTCACATTTTGTGCCAACCTCTCATCATCATCATCATCATTACAGCTTACTTGTGAAGGACAAGTCCACTGCTGAACATAGGCCTCCTCCAAGTAATGCCACAAAGCACGGTCCTGACCCACCTGCATCCATCGGCTTCCTGCATATCTTACCAGGTCGTCACTCCATCTAGTGGGGGGTCGCCCTACACTACGCCTACCGGTACGAGGCTGCCACTCGAGAACCTTTCTTCCCCATCGGTTATCGGTTCTTCGAGCTATATGGCCGGCCCATTGCCACTTCAGCTTACTAATCCGTTGGGCTATGTCGGTCACTCTGGTTTTACTGAGGATATCCTCATTTCTGAGTCTATCACGCAGAGAAACTCCGAGCATATCCCTCTCCATAGCTCGCTGAGCGACCTTGAGCGTCCTCATACGGCCAGCAGTGAAGGACCACGTCTCAGATCCGTAAGTCATCACTGGCAACACGCACTGGTTGTAAAATCTAGTTTTCAGAGATTGAGGTATACCTGACGAGAAGATGTGTCGTAATTTCCTGAACGCTGCCCAGTCGAGTTGAATCCGTCGATTGACCTCTCGGTCGACGTTGGACTAACCTAGTCGGAGTATTTGTCCCAGGTAAACGTACTCGTCAACAACTTCGAGCAAAATGCTCCCAACAACTACCGGCGTAGGTGTGACATGGACATTAAACATGATTTTTGTTTTGTCCATGTTCATCTTAAGACCTATCCGTTGGGAGACACCATTGAGGTCATTGAGCATAGTGCTTAGGTCCTCCAGCGATTCTGCCATAAGGATTACATCGTCGGCAAATCGAAGGCGAGTGATGTACTCGCCATTGATGTTAATACGCATTGAAAATTTCGGGAATCAAGGAAGTGACACAACATTACTATTTAAAAATGTATTTATTGCTTTTCGAAGTATTCTCCGCGAAATTTGACACATTTTTCCTTACAATGGAACCAATCATTGAAGCAGCCATTCCATTCGGAAGTTGGGGTCTCCAAAATGGCCGTTTTGTAGGCGTCCATAGCTTCTTCAGTTTATGAAAATCTCTGTCCACGCAATTTATTCTTTATTTTGGGGAAAGTTTCGAAATCATTAGGGCTTAGGTCGGGGCTGTACTTCGGATGGTCTAATAATTCTATGTTTTTTTGCTCTAAAAACTCTTTTGTTCTGTGTGCGGTGTGAGAACTCGCATTGTCGTGATGGAACATGATGTGGCGGTTGCAGTTTTCTTTACGGAGTTCAGAAACGACCTGTGGCAAACAAATGCTAGCATACTATTTTGCATTAACCGTTCTTTGTCCCTCAAGAGGAATAGTCGTAACATGGCCGGTTTTGGAGACTAACGTGGCCACCATTTTTTTTTTGCAAAACTCCGTGAACGAATAATTTTTGTTGGCTTTAACTCATTTTCGAACACCCAAACTCGTGACTGGTTTTTTGTTTAGGGTTCGTACGCATATATCCAGGATTCATCACCTGATACGATGTTGTATACAGCATTTGAGGATCCTGCGTGGAATCCTTCGAGAGTTCTGACGCACCAAGTAACGCAAGCCGCTTTTTGCTCTTCACAGAGCGAATGCGGTATCCATCGGGAAAACAACTTTTTTACACCTAATTGTTCATGCAAGATTATTTGTATTTGACTCATGCCAATGTCTAAAATCGTGACAAGACCGAGAATCTTTTTTCAAATAAATAAAGGGTATTCGATTTTTAAAACCAAGGAGTTTTCAATTAAAAAATTTTAATATGACAGGAACAGTGGAAATATTCCATTCCCGATACTTTTAGTGCAGCCTAGTAAATATAAGGAGATAACGATTCATGTACTACAATAAAAAATAAATAAATAAATAGACGAAGTGGTAGATGAGCGGCTCGCGTCCGTAGGCCCACCCTACACGTGTCCCCCGGGTAAATAGACTTGGCTCCTCGCCGTATGGTAGCGGCGTAAAACCTACCACCACCCCTAGTTTGCACCATGAGTCATGCAACAAAAGAAATGACACCGAGCTCCCGGCGCCCCTTTAATGGAGCAAGGGTGCTAAGAATCGCCACCCGTCACGTTCTGTCTTCCGAAGGGGCGAAAAGTGGATTGCGGAAGCCCTTCTGGCTACACTGAATGTATGTGGAGCATCGAATGATAATATGGATGAAGTATGCGAAATGATAAATGACAGAGGAATAGATGTGTTATGTGTAAATTAGACGAAACGAAAGGGAAAGAATACCACTGCTTATGGCATGTATACCGAGTATTGGTCTGGTTTAGATGAGACCGAGCGGGCATGCCAGGGGAGTCGGTTTCATCCTTTCAGAAAGAATGGGTTAATGTGTGAAAGAGTATGAATGTGTAAGCACGAGGCTGCTATGGATACGAAAAAGTAAAGAAGCTGTTTCTGCTAGGGTTGTACGCCCCAGACATGTCTAAGCCTACTTACACGCGAGAGCAGTTTTGGGACATGGTAAGGATGGTGTTGACGAAATTTAAGGAAAATGAAAATATTATTATGTTAGGAGACTTTAATCGAAGGGTTGGGGTGAAGAGGTCTTGTTATGAAAGGATATTGGGAACGTTTACCGGGGAAGGGTTTACCGGGGGTCCAACGTAGGGACGGATTATTACTTATTCTTATGTCGAATTAATGGTCTATTCAAACATTGGCGGCAACGGACACTCATGTCTTCCACTGCGTTACAGCGTATAAGAATAGAGAAGTTGCAAGATGAATATGTGAAAGAGAAGTATAAATGTAGATTGAGGGAAAACATTAGGTGTTTGAATGAGTTGTGGATGAATAATTTAGACTTGAATACTCTGTGGGATAATGCTAAGAAAGGATGCAGCCACCGAAGTATGTGGTGTAAGTAAGAGAACAAATGAAAGAAAATATAATACTGTTACGAGCTTGAGGTTCGTGACAATAAAAATTGCCGATAAAATTACCTAAATTAACACTTTAATTTACTTTACACAATTAAAGTTAAAACACTAATAATTTAAACACACTAATTCACTTAATTCCACTCCGAAGCTTCGCTTGTTTCGCCCAAATCAACACTAACTCCATCGCATCTTGCAGCGCCTATATATTTAAATTAGCAAAGAAATATCCAGAATGTTCAAGTAAACACGCGGAAGGTATCGAGCGTTCGAGTTTCGACTAGGCGCTGTCAGTTGAGCGATTTGTGATGTCATTTTCTCAATGCTCCCCTCGCTCTCGTTCCTGACACTAGATGGCGCTAGTTGACTTATTCATGCAACACTGCCCCCTCCTAAGACATGCTCGTCCCGAGCATTATCGGTCCCATAATAACGCGCCAAGCGATCCACATGGACGATCTTAGGAGTCCCTCTTGCGCCTTTCTGTATCCGGTAGGTCACATCGTTGATCCTGGTTACAATCCGGTACGGGCCGTCCCATTTAGCTTGAAGCTTAGGAGATTTCCCTTTGCTGCGGACTGGATTGTGCAACCACACAAGTGAACCTTCGTCGAACCCTTTGTTGTTCATTTTGCGGTCATACCGGGTTTTCATCTTTTCAGACATTTGCTGGCCCGATTGTCTGACGTGCTCATAAACGTCATTCATTTTTTTCCGCAAGTCATTTGCATAATCGGTTATACTGCGTGGAGCATCGGGTGGTATCCCGGTGATCAGGTCTGCAGGCAGCCGTAATTCTCTTCCAAAGTTTGCGAAAGCTGGTGTCACTGCTGTACTTTCGTGAACAGAACTTCGATATGACAACAAAAACGGTTGTATGTGCTTGTCCCAATCTCGTTGCCGATTGTCTACAACTTTTGCTAGGTACCTCTCCAATGTCTGATTAAATCGTTCCACCATTCCATCAGATTGCGGGTGATAAGAAGTCGTTCTTGTTTTATGAGTACCCATAACTCGGCAAGTTTCCTGGAATATTTGAGACTCAAAATTCCTTCCTTGATCGCTGTGAATCTCTAAAGGTACTCCAAAACGACAGAAGACTTCATGAACTAGTTTATCTGCAACTGTTGAAGCTTCTTGATTTGGAATGGCGAAGACTTCTGGCCACTTAGTGAAGTAATCCATCACAACCATGAAATACTTGTTACCGCTTTCACTCTCCGGAAACGGCCCCGCCACGTCAATGGCTATTCTCTCCCATGGTGCACCAACATTGTACAACTTCAATGCACCTCTACTACGAGTCTGAGGTCCCTTTACAGCCGCACAACTTGTACATTTGCGACACCAGTCCTCGACATCGTTT